TGTGTGTGACAGACTAGGGACTGGTGTGGTTCCAGACTGTTGTTACTGTAAATCTGGCAGAAGCTGTGAATGTGTTGGGGTCTGAGTTCAGTCAGGAGGTTGATGCTCCTTTCCTCCTGGTTGGGCCAGTAGTGCCCATTCACACCATGAACTTGAATATGCTTTAAAGTAGGGGCTGGGCCTGACCTACCCAGGCTACTGACCCTTGTGATTCTGCAGAAAAGTTACCTCATTTTGTGGCCTGATTCCCTGGGCTTTAAATGGGAAAGTCATTCTGGCACCTTCCTCACTTGTCAGTCTGCTTAATGGAATAACCCCTACTGTGTTTATGTAGTCTTTGACCCATTTAGAACAAAAACTTCCCAATCATAATAACTAGTCTTGGAATTCCCTACATTTCAAGTATATCCACTTTGGAGATGGACAGCAGGTGGCAAGGAGGAAGAACACAGCCCTGTGATCCAGACAACTTAGACGTCCTTTACCGGATCTGCCATTTGTTTACCTGTCTGTGGGCTTGGCCAGCAAGGTGTTTCATAACCCCTGTGATTCTCAGCTTCCTCGTCTATAAAACAGAGCAACGTATATCTATGTCCTGGGTGCTGGAAGGGTCAGATAAAGCTTTGAAAGCACATAGCATCTCATGAGATAGTTGGTGAAAGTTCTGTTGGAGACTTCTTCTTTTATTTTTTATGAAATAGAAACAATATGTTTTACATGTAAGTGCATGAAGCGCCTATAAGAACTACTTTTTAAATGTGAAAGACCTAGAGCTAGGTGTCCATTGGAAAAGTAAGTACCTATTAAAAAATACTTAACACTGAAAATGATCAGAAACCAACCTTTTCTTATGAAATTTATCATTGTCATTATTATTTTGGTGAAAACACACCAACTCAACAATTTCTAAAGGTACAATTCAATGACATTGACTATGTTCTTCAAATTATACAACCGTTTTTGCTATACTTTTCCAAATTATTTTTGGGGCGTTTTTGTAGGTCCTTGTCTTATATTTACCCCACCTCAGACCCTGGTTATATGAGGGGAATGTGGTCAAGGGGAGCCAAGGTCAAGGGGAGCCAAGGTCAAGGGGAGCTCCATGTGCCATTTCTCTAGTCCTCTCCAGTTCCCTCATTTTCAGGGCCTTCCAGCTGTGTGAAAACTTGTTGATGATTATATAGCTGGTCATGTTACGGAAAAGTCAAATGTACAGGGATTGTAAAAAGAGGCATTTTGGCACAGCCTCCGCTTTTGATATGTTATCTCACTGATCATCATATGCTTTAAGGAAAATGTTATCTCTTGGGCACAAGGACCCACACTGTAAATAAGTTGACCTTCAGCCCCTCAAAATTTGGAGGGACTGGTCAAGTCTCAGCATTTGAGCAGCTGCCAATGTGCTCACAAGTGATACGTTATTCTTAGAAGGGATTTCCACCCCTCCTCCCCTTTTGGTCTGGAGTCTGTTGCCTTCACTGCTACACTAGAAGATTCCAGCGTGTTGTGTGGGCGTGGTTTGTGGGAATGTGTTCGTACCCTGCCTGGTCTCCTAGGGACTGGCTGGCACTGTCTTTTGTGGAGCTGCTGTGGTTTAGTCAGCTGTTTATTCAGCCAAGTGATGGCTGGGCATCAGCCTTACTTGACCCTGGATCTCCTCAGTCAGGTGGTGGCCATGTTATAACTATGAGGCCTCTCTCCAAGATCAGCTCTGTAGAGATTTTTTTTCTTCACTTGGTAGTGAGAAGAGGAAATAATTTGCTTAATAAGGGACCATCCTAAACCTTTTGAATGGTGTTTTGGTCTTAGCAGATGAGAAGAAATACGAGATGCTGTCTGTCTTGAGGTTGGGCTGTTGGCTCAGGCGCAGGAAGGGTCTAACTTCTGTTCACAGCAGAATGACAGCAGCTCTTGTCTGGTTTTTAGCATTGAAATGCCAAGTGCGTTGTTGTGACATTTCCCACGATAGGCAGACAAGCCCGAGTGTTCAGATGTCATTTTTCTTTCCTCACAGAATTGAAGAGCTTCCCTTGAGCGCCAAGTTAAATTCTGAATGTCTGCATGTTCTCCTTTTATTAATTCTTTAAGTGTGTTAAGCATCCAGCTTCTAACCCAGAAGTCAGTGGTTCAAATCCTCCTGCTACTCTGAGAGAAAACAATAAGGCAGTCTGCATCCACAAAGGTTTATAGCCCCGAAAACTCTGTGGAGCAGTGCTCCTCTGTTCTGTAGAACAGACTCAATGCAGTGGGTTTGGTTTAGTTTGATGGGGCCTTAGTAAGCATGAAGGAGACAGGAATTTTGGTAAAGTTCTTCTGGGGACTCGGGTCTCTACATTACACCTCTGGGCCAGTGGTCCCCAGGAGTCACTGCCCCGCTGCCTGCTTGGCCCCTGTTTGTACTTGCCCTTTTCCTCCATTACTCTGTTTTGTGCCTTTGCCTCAAACAAGGAGAGAAGCGAAGTGGTCTTTCAGGCTCTTCCTGCTTTGGTTCTCCCAGGAATTCCCCCTGCCATGGGCTGCCCCAGACACTTCCTGCTCCAGCCGAGAGCATCGCCAGTTCTTCTCTGTGTGCTTCTGGCGGGCCGAACCTTCTCCTTTAATCACGTTTTAAGAAGACTTCCTAAGTTTGATTCATCCTCAGCACCGTTTCCTTATGTCCCCTTGGTGTTGAGTATATTTAGCTATCTTGAGAATATCCCACCTCCAACCCTTGGAGGACAGGAGACTGAGCAGGTGTTCAGTTGGTCACCTTGATCCAGGTCTCACCTTTGTTTCCTACCTCAGGGCAGGAACATGGTGTAACAACCTTGATAAGAGTTGACCCTGAGATTTGTACACCTATTGTTTTGTCCTCAGTTTCAGAGACTCAGCCCTAGGATGGTAGAAACAATGTACTCATGCCCTCTTATCCAGCTGTGTGCAGTGCCTGGATTTTACTTATGAGTTGACTAGACTAACACTAGTCCCAAATACCTCCTACAGAATGGATGACCTAGTGGCTGATGTCAGAATTAGCTGATAAAGAATTGAAATTCACTATAGCATTTCTTGAATTTCTTCTCTGTATTTCTCCTTTGACGAGTCAGTGTTGGGATATAGAACTTGTGCCAAGTCCTGCCCTTGTTGTGGCATATATATTTACCATTTTCTTGGGTTTACAATGGAATTTTGAGACAGGCCTGCATTAACATGCTTTGTATGGATTCATCTGTCTTTCTGCTCAGACATTGTCATGGACCTCATAAGCACAACCTAGTCCAGAAGTTGGAGACAGGGTAGGGGGTGTATGGGCATTTGTCATCTCATAAGGAGATGAATCAAATGTCCAAATACCCACAAACCAAACCCCACCACCCCTACCCTCGAGGCTTACTCTGATTCCTAGTGACCCTATGTGCATTAGAGAAGTCCCGCCTTATACGGTTCCCAAGGTAATCTTTATGGAAGCTCATCTGTCACCTCTTTTTCCTGTGTTGGCACTGGTGGGGTTCTAACCACCGATCTTTAGATCTTTAGGGTAGCAGCAAAGCGCTTAACCACTGTGCCACCAGGGGCTCCTAAAATAACCCAGAAGTTAGAATGTAAAAGGTGCAGGAATACAAGTTCTAGCCAAGTGCTGTTGTAAATATAGTAGTGGGGATGAGAAAGTAATTCTGTTAGGAGTGCTGAAAGCAATAGTGGGTCAAGGAAGACGGGGTATTCAAGCTATGCCTATTGGTTTCATGGTTGGAAGCTCTGTAAGCATCGATGGGTTGCATTGGCAGGACCATAGCTTTGTGTCTCCTGTGCTGCCAACGTATATGCAGTCCAAACCATAGGCTCTGAGGATCAGACTTTAGCTACCTAGTAGACATAGCAAACTGTCCCTCATCTGATTATTCAGTAATGCTTGTTAGTAATCGCATACATGAGCCCTGGATATCCACAGACAAATGTAAAAACCTTCCCTAAAAGCCGAGACTGTAAATTCCAAAAAGGCAAGTCCCCCCGATCCAAAAAAAAAAGCTAAAGAGGATAGAGAGAAACTCTGTTAACTGATGATATATGGAGGGGATAATAATCAATGTAATGAAACAAGCTATATGAATGGTTGAATGTGAAGCTGATGATGTGCCCTGTAAACTTTCACTCAATCCAAAATAAAAACATTTAATTAAAAACAAACAAAAAAAACAGTATATGCAGCAGAACCTGGGAGAGCTAGAGCTTCACAGGTTGGCTTTGTTTTCTGGCTCTTGTAAGTGTCCTGCCTTTGACAGAAGTCTTACTACTTCTCTCTCTGTCTCTCTGTTAGTGGAAAATATTTGAGTTATTCTTCAATAGCACATTTCTGCCTTACACAGGTTCCAGGTTTCACAGGTTTTACTGTTTGGGGTGTTGTTAAGTGCCATCTAGTTGGTTCCTACCCATAGTGACCCTGTATAGGGTTTCCAAGGAGTGACTGGGGAGCTTGAACCGCCAACCTTGCAGTTCAAATGGCTTTTCAGTCTGGCACATTAACCCTTAGCACTGCACCAGGAAAATGTGGGAAGATAGAGAGACGAATGAATGAATTTAATGAAACAAGAATTCTAGGTCAGGGGGATAGTCTGAAAGGCCAAAGAGTGGCAGGAAGAAGTTGGGCAGATTAATGCAACTATAGCACTATATGACTGGTTTGGCTCAAGTGTACTGTGTTTGAGGGGGAATGGCCAAGAAATGGTTGGAAAGGGTTAGGCCCAAATGGTGAAGGCTCAAGAATTTTCGCCTTCTGTTGCAGAGAGTGGGCAGCTCAACAGTAAGAACTGTCTTGAGGAGGTGTTGGCAGGAAGTGTACATGATTCTGAGTTCTGAGAGTAGACTTTCAATTACACAAAGACCTCTCATGTGACATTGGCTGATGTCTCCATGTTGTAGGTAAGTGGCTCTGTACGACTAGTCTGGACCACAGGTAAGTTAACTAGCAGCAGCAAGTAATCTTTGCCCGTCGTGGACTCTCACGTTCTGTCCTTTTTCTCCAGATGTGTGCAATAGCACCGACCTTCCGGAAGTCGAGATCATCAGCCTGCTGGAGGAGCAGCTGCCCCATTACAAGTTAAGAGCTGACACCATCTACGGCTATGCTCACGACGACTGGCTGCACACTCCCCTCATCTCTCCTGACGCCAACATCGACCTCACCACCGAGCAAATTGAAGAGACCCTGAAATACTTCCGTAAGTACTTTCTGTTTCCTGTGGAGGAAACACTGGGATGACTAGTCCTTCTTTAACCATGGTCTCAAGAGAGATCTTGTACTGGTGCCATGTCTTGTCAGTAGCCACCCATGGAAAGACAATCAGGGAAGTGTTGACTGTAAAGTTTAGCCACATGACAGCCTGGAATTTTAAGCATTCTCAATAGAAATTTTAGCAGTGGGGACCAGGTCTGGATTCGTTTTAGCCAACTTTCTTCTAAACACATCAACAAACAGGCTTTGAAAATGCTTCCATTTTTATTTTGCTTGTCAAAGTACCCCTTTAGAAACTTTTTACTTGGAAGGAGTTTGTACTTAAATCCAAAAGCATTGTTAATATGTTGTTGTTAAGTACTGTTGAGTTGCCGAAGGCTCATAGTGACCCTTTATAGGGATTTCCGAGGAGCGGCTGGTGGATTTGAACTGCTGACCTTGTGGCTCAAACTGACCTTGAGGTCGAGTGCTTATCCTAATTTATATGATGTAGCAAGACGTGCTGACAGTGCTTGAGGGAAATCCCACAAAGTGAGTTATTTTGGAGAGTTGGAATACTGTAGTGCTGATACTTGATAGGAAGAACAGTACCGTAGACCACCACTGTCCCCACCCATCCGGCCGAGTTGTGATGTCGGGATGTGAAACCAGACACTGCAGACTTGAAAAGTGATTGTTTAAAAAGTGTAGTATTGGTGATGCTTCTGATTTTCATTAAATACTTTAAAACACTTTAGAAATCTCTGGTAGCCCTTGTGAGTTTGGTAGGAGAGGAATGAGAATAATTCTTAACTCATTTTGGCACTGCTGACTTAAGTTCTCGTTAACTTTTTGTTGTTACGTGCCATCGAGTTGATTGCAACCCATGGCGACACCGTATAGGGTTTCTGATGAGTGGCTGGTAAGCTTGAACTGCTGAGGTTCAAGCCGATCTTGCAGTCCAGCACATTAACCCACAGTGCCACACCAGGAACCTGGTCTAAAGTAACAAATTAAGGAGATTTCAGCCCCCTTCAAAATGATGAAATTTATATATCTGTGCATCATTATGTCAGCTTTCAAAAAACATACAGCTGCCCTGCATTTAGTTAGAGATCACGTGTTCGAAACGAGCTTATCACGAGCCTTTCTATAGCCATGTAATTATTTTCGCTACTACAGATTGATCTCTCTTCTGATTTTCTTGAGTTTGTGTAATCATTTACAATAAATGAGTCAGAACCATGACTTTTGTTTTGGTTACGTCTGGGACAGTTTTCAGATTTATACCTGATGTAAATGCTACAGTTCTTGAATCAATGTAGTTAATCAGTTGTGACAGAGATTAGAATAATCTATACTATGGTAGATACGAAACACTCATATCAAAGTTCAAGTTTAAGCTTTAGAACTCCTAGTGCATCTTGTAGCATGCAGAAAGTGCTTTGCAAGTCACTTTTGTTTGTTCATGGTATCTGTATCACCCAAGAGATGTAGTTCCCTGTGAAAAACTGCTTTCAGTTTAACTTCCTTGGTAGATTCTGGTTTTGTTTCCTTCAGACTGCTTCACGGTAGAATTCACCACAGAATTATTTCTCAAAAATCCCTGCTTGTCAACCCTAGATAGGGTTTCCAAGGAGCAGCTGGTGTGTTTAAACTGCCAACCTTGTGGTTCGCAGTCCAGTGGTGATCACCAGGAGACCATGCATAACAATAGCATTCTAATGATTAAAAGGGGACTTCAGAAAGTTCATGGGAAAATTGAATTAAAAGATAATTTTTCCCCATAAATTTTTGAAGCCTCCTCATATAAAAGTAATACTATGGGTGTGTCAAATCGTATCGGGTTTCTGAAACTGTAAATCTTGACAAGCACAGGAAACCTCATCCTTCTCACACAGAGCAGCTGGATATGGTATCGAGTCCAGTGGATATGGTATCGAGCCACCATACTCTTTAGCTCGCTTTCAGCACACCCAAAAATAAGAAAATCTAGATTCCATCCACCCCAATATTTGCAGATGGATTATTCATTTTACCAAAGGATTCATCATGGTTCCTTTGGTAAAATGAATAATCTTATCTGTAAATATTGTATACAGATAGGCAGTGAATAGACCTAGTGATTTTAAATATTTTGATTTAATTTAAAAAACACATCCAGATTTTAAAAACTGTTTCTAAAACATCTCTAGCACAAAATGAAGACCTGTCCTGATTCACATGTGTTCTCAATACTTTCCCAGTCACTTACTTTAATGGGTGTGGGGTTCTCATTTATATACATCTTTCATACTTCTACAAACAACAGTGCTCATTGTAATTCTTTTTCTGTTTGTAAAGTGGCTGACTGTGTGTCATGGAGTTGGTTCCGACTCATAGCGACCCTGTATAGGCTTTTCGAGGCTGTAAATCTTTACGGGAGCAGAACACCTCATCTTTCTCACGTGAAACAGCTGGTAGTTTCAAACTGCTGACCTTGCGGTTCGCAGCCCGATTCGTAACCTCTATGCTACCAGAGCGCCTTCATTTGTAAAGTAATACATACTTATTATAGAAACTTAGTAAGTATAGCAAGATATGTTTTATAAAGAAGAAAATACCATCTATAATTCTATCATCAACGGTATCACTCAATATTTTAGTATACTTCTAATTTTATACTATTCATAGCAGATGGTGGTGTTGTTGTTAAGTGCAGTGAAGTCGATTCCGATTCATTGCAACCCTGTATAGGGTTTCCAAGGAGCAACTGGTGAGTTTGAGCAACTGGTGAGTTTGAACCACTGACCTTTTGGTTCAAACCAAGCTTGTAGTCCTGGTCTTACTCTGTAGTGAGACATGCAGGACTTCAATTCACAGCAGATACGTGTGCTGAATTTAGAGTATAAACTCAGCATCCTGACCACCCTCTGGAAAGGCCTCTCTGTAATTGCAGATGAGAAGCTGGAAACTATATTTGCTAGAATCCCCTTCCCTGTTTTGTTTTAGGTTACAGTTTGCCTGTGACAGAATTTGTATGGAATTTGCAAGGTAGGGGTGAAAGAGAAGTCTGCTCTGAGATGGTTGCAGCCAGATGCCTGGGCTGCTGTGAGATTCACAGAGGTTTCTTGGCAAACTCTTGAGGACCATCTGTTTCTGGACCATGATCTTTGGTGTTTACTGGCTGACCTGTAGTGGTGATCTTTTAAATTTCTCTTCCCTTAACTTTGCCAAAAATTAAAGAAGTTCCTAATTTTATATTAAAATGTTTTTGCTGGGGGGTGGGCGGAAATCCCTGTTTGTTACCTGCTCTTCCCTAAGAGACCCGTCTGTGACTTTGGAGGACGCTCTGCAGCCATTTCTGCCGCAGAAGGTTCCGGGTTCCCTTCTCAGACACACTGACTAGTCTCTTTCGACATATAATTGGAATGCCATCCATGGGAACACTTCACAGTTTGCAGAGAACTTTTATACCAATTGTCTAATTTCATCCCTGTAAAATGTGTCAGTGTAGGCTGTTACCATGGTTGCTAGGTGCCATCATTGATTCCAGCTCATAGCGACCCCATGTGACAGAGTAAAAATCTATTCTATAGGCTTTCCTAGGCATTTAAGAGCTCGACTAACTGCAAAGTCAGTGGTTCGAACCCAGCAGCTGCTCTGCAGGAGAACAGTACCTACTTCTATAAAGATTTATAGCCTTGGGAACCTAGAATAGGGTTATGGGGCAGTTCTATTCTGTCTGCAGAGTTTGTGTATTTATAAAACATTTGTCAAACATATTCTAAATAATAAGTTTTTTCATGACTCAGGCAACTGACCCTGGTTTAGCCTTGTTGAGCTTCACTTCAAGGTGACATTTCCTTCCTCCCGGTGGTTCTTGCCTCCGTCCTGTTGGCTCTAGGCCGTGCTTCCCTTCTCTCAGGTGGAGGTGACAATGAATGCTGTGTGGTTTTCCAGTTAACATAGCTTCAGCAGACACCAGCTTAGGGAGGTTGCTGAGTCGGTGGTTGGGTGGCTCTGTCTCCTTTTGTTTCCTCCTTCCCAGGACCCACTGACCTCTGTAACTTTTTGGTTAAGGAACCTTGGTTGAGAACAGAAAAAACTCCATCTCAAGAGCAGGCGATCTGCTAACCACTCCATCCTTATGTTTACCTGAAATGTTTTTCCTAAGTAAAAGAAAAAGTTATGCAACACATACATCTCAAGGTTTGTTGCACTGTTTGTTTTCCCTGTAAAATTACATTCAGAGTCAGCCCACAAGCATTTATGAAGGGACTGGAATGCATCTATAAACTTTGAGAACTTGACTTGGTTGTGTTCCAGTTGAGGTCTCTGGCTAAGGAAATGAAAACATCTCCCGGATTATTAATTTTCTTCCACTATCTAACCCAGGGACTTTGTGCTGGACTGGACCAATGCAGGAAGCTCTTGAGGCCCTTGACTGGTGTCCCTCCAGCGCTGACTTTGCCCACCTTGCTTTGTAGGAGGAGGGAGATGGGGCCTGGGAACCTGCATTTTAAAGTAGCGCCTCCTGTGATTTTAATTATCTAAATGTAATTGAGAATAATAAAAAAGACCATTAATCCAGACGGATCATACTTTTGCAGATGGGGCACACTGAGATCTGAAATTAGTTGAGGTAGATTACTAGATTCTTTGAGTTGGCTTGGTTAAGGCCAGGAATCATGCATAGACCCCCCCATTCATCATCTCCCTGGCATTTAGGGTTGTGCCCACCAGTGGACCCTATGGTAAGTATTATTTCCCTGCCCTTTGTACATTCTGCTGTGTCTACAAGGTCACAGGTATAATAAACATTTACACAGCATCCGTGTGCTCAGTAAAGCTGATGCTTTCCAACCTACTCACACAGCACACCTCCCAGAAGGGGGAGACGATGAAGTAGAGTATCTGGTACTGGAATTCAAGAGTGTGTGCTGGGTTCCCACCCACTCCACCCTGCTGTGTCTGGAAGCTCTTTTCTCTCCTTGTCTTGCTTGACCTTTGACAAGGTTAACATAG